GAAAAATTTTATTAAATAAATTTGACTCGACTCGACTTGAAAAAAATGAGTCGAATAGAGTTGGTCTTTAAACTTGACTTAACTCAACTCATTCAGAACTCTATGCAGAACTTTATCATAAGATTTTAGATAAAGACTTTATGAAGACTTTGTAATATTATGAATTAAGTACTGATAATATTATCTTTATGCAAGATAATGATTCTAAACATATTACTATATTAACTAAAAAATAGTTGAAGATAATAATATAGAGCTTTTACCTTGACCACTATAATCTTCTGACTTAAATCTAATTGAGCACTTGTAGAATGATGTGGATTATCATATAAAAATATTAGATATTGAAATTAGAGGAAAAGATATGTTATGGGAGCAAATTCATAAGATATGGGAAAAAACTGCATTAGAAATATGCATCAAATTGATAGAATCAATGCCAGAAAGAATAAATAATGTAATTAAAGCAAAAGGTGGTTATACTCGATAGTGAGAACATTTGGTAAAATTTTTAATTGAGATTAATTTAGTTTTTTTTAAAAAAGTTTAATAAATTTGTTATATTTGTGAAAGCGTCATATTAAATGCACCATTATTTAATAAAAAATCACATGATAAAAAATTTTCTGATTTATTAAATATTATTAAAATTGCTATATTATGAAGATCTTATAATATACTATATATTTAATAAATATTCAAATAATCAGATTTTGTTTATTAATCATAAAATATATAATTAATAATAAGCAGTATAGTAGTATATTTTTTTGAAAGCCACTGTATATAAAATTCTTTCATAGAGATGGTCTCAATAATTTTATTAGACAACAAGAATAGGATCAATTCAAGAAAGAATTATGTGAAGAAAATCAGATTGTTCTAACTTACATATGATATTACAAAAATTTACATATAGTTATTTCATAGCATCTCTAAAAACTGGGCCTTATAAAATAAAAATAAAACTTTAAATGCTTATATTTCATTTAAAATTCATATTTTTTGATAATAATTTAGTATTACTTAGTTTAATTATAATGAAAGAGAAGATTGATGAGATACCTAAAAAATTTTTGAAGCATATAAAATCTAAAAGAATTGCCTCAGATTGGCCTTTTTATCTTTTAGTTTATGAAGGTTCCTATAACGAAATAATAAACATGATTGTAAATCTTATGCTTAATAATAAACTCCAACATTTATTAAAAATAATAACTTTATATTAGTAGGAAAATACTCTGAGTTAAAGTGGTAGTTAGTACAAACTAGCTTTCAGATTATTATGAATAGCCTAAACTATATAAAAGAATGTCACATTTAAAAGAATAATGCCTGATAAAATTTCCAATATAACTAAATTCTTTCAAGATTGAAATATGGTTGTAATATTTAAAGATCTTTGTGCTAAATCAAAAAAAATATAATATTGAATTATTTCCTATTTCATTAGTGTCGACATCAAAATTTTTCACTAATATATATAACCCAAAATATCAAGTCATGTTAAAAATAATTCGTGAAAATATTTCTCATCTAATCATATTCTAAGAGGTAGGAAGTCATAAAGATATATATAGAGTTATATGTTAATATACAGATGATCTGAAAAAAGCATACAAGATTATTGACAAGCATCTCTGAAATTAGAATTTTGTAGTCTTTAACTTTACCGAAACAATTGATGATCTATTAATAATTAGGCTAGGTAGGATGCATCTTTGAAGTTAGATGAGTAGGATTCAATTTCATAGATGCCAGCTTTTTTTCCTTGCGACTTTAGATCTTTAATTTCGCTAATAACCTTCAGGGAAAATCATATACACATTATTTTTTATAATGCTAATCAAAAAAAATTTGTGGAATTTCAAGTTGCTATTTAGTGCATTAAAATTGAATTATCTATAGTTCTCAATAAAAATGGCTTCTACAAATATTGTCAACTTAGAGAAGTGACTTCTAGAAATGATTGTGAGATCGGTCAATTGAAATATCAGCTTACAGAATACTATTATAATATTAATCAGTTAAAGGATGTGATTGCAAGGCTTGATAATAAGGTAAGAGAATCTACAGTTAACCCTCTCTAAATGCATCTCCTTATGACCATAGTGAAAATTTTAAAAAATGTGTATTTAAAAAGGATGTGCATTTAAAGAGAAAATTTTTATATGAATTCTATATGCTTGGGACTGAATAAGAGCATGCATTTAGAGAGAAAATATATAGTGTATGCATTTAGAGAGGATGCATTTAGAGAGGGTTGACTGTATTAAGAAAGAATTAGCAAAAGCTTATGTAAAAAAAATTAAAGAGCTTGAGTATGAATAAAAGGTTGGAAATGATTATTAATAATTTTTTCTGATATGAATTAATATATAAGCTTTTTCAAGCAACTTTATTATATAATTTATACACTAAAATCTATATATAATGTAATAGACATTTTCGATTACAAATTCTATTTATAAGCAGGATATTGGTGAAGAGGATACTGGTTTTAGAATCATAGGTAATGCTAGAGAAAGAGGCATTTCTGGCTCTGATAATATCAGTGATAATGATAGTAGCGATTGCAAAGTCTAAATGTATATGTAGAAGTTAGATAAGTATTTCCTAATTGCAAGTTAAATAGAATATACTTACGGGTTTACATCTCTTTGTTAGAAATCTTATATTATAATTTACCTGCTCTCGATTCTGAGGATTTATTTTTCAACACACTAGTACAACTCTCTTTCTTTTTTTATTAATTCTCTACTGAGAACTTAGGAAATCTGTTGTATCACTGTTATCTATGTTTATGAGACTTTCACCTAAAGGAATACTTATATTACCACCAAAGTTACTACCAAAATTTTCAGCAAAAAATCTTGCTATTGACTAGATCCAGTATCTAATATATCTTTATCAATCTATTTGCTAAATGATCTAGTAAAATCAGCCTTTATCGCCTCTATTTTTTTGTCTATCTTAGAGAAGGTGAAAAGGATGCATTTTCTCTCAGCTTCATATTCTAAGAGGGTGCGTCTCTGAGAAATAAATTATTGAATTAGATCTGAACTTCATATTGCAGAAGACAAAAAAAATACATTACTTCATTATACTCCTTAATTACTCTGCATCAATATTTCTCAAATTCTTTTTTGTATTGTAAACACTTTTTACTGACCTGTTATAGATGAAGATTAATATTATGCAACTTTTTATTTAGTAATAAAGAAAGGTACATAGTCAGTTTCTCCTCCATAACTAGCAGACCCTTATTAGTGACAAAAAAGAGTGTCTGAATAGCAGACTTGTAGTGGTTATTAAGTGATTATATCCAATAATTCTCCTGAGTCAAAATACATCTTCTTAGAAGTTTTTCTTCTTTTTGCAAAATAAAAAAATGCAACTTTTTATTTAAAGCACTGAAATTACTTGGTTCTAATTCCTCAGCTTCTTGTAAAAATTTAAGCATCTAAAGATTATTGAAATCCTTCAAAGATTTGAACAAAGAGAGCATTGATAAGATAATAATTTCTTTTTGATACTAGCGCAAGAATCCTAAAATGAATTATTTTTCAAATACGAAATAAGTGCATTTTGGCTTCGAGATTCAATATTTTTTAAGGAAAGAGTAGTTAACATTATGAAGGATATATTTTGTGATAATTATATATGTAAAAATATGACTTATAATATGATCTATAAAAGTAAAAGAAACTATTTTCAATTTGCAATATTTTTATTATATGCTAAAAGATGTACGTATTCAATGCAGTGTCTTAAAGCATATCAGTCACTGGTCATTTTCAGCACAGCGTTAATCACTAATTAAAATTTTTGTATTATGTAAATTAGCCTATTTTCATTAGGTTTGAATATGGCAAAGACTTTAACTTTTTTATAATATACTAAAAGTAAAACATATGAACTTTCAAATGACACTAATTTTGTTATAATATCTTGCTTTCTTAAATATTTCAATATATAAGGCTTTTCTATGATTTTTTGAACTTTAAACTGAGATTCTTCTGTCAATACTGGTTCTTTTTTAAAGTCATTTACATGAGAAGTTAACCATTAATATAGATATATTATTATAAAATTTGTTTTGAAGTTTATATATACGTTGTTGAGAAAGAGCCAAAAAGGTAATTATAAATATCAAATTTAAAGAAATATTAAGATAGTTTACCAAAACATTGTAATCTTTTTTTACATAATTTACATTTTATTTTATTTAAAAACTAAAAATCTTGAATAAAAATATATTTCTTAAAACCAAACTTATTTGTGCAGTTTGCGTAATTTTCTATTTACTTGAAAGGTTATAATATTTTAACAAAAAAAGTGACCAACTTTACAAAGAGATCCTTCTAACTTCTTATTAATAAATAGCAGAAAAAATTTGTCTCAAAACGTTTGTCTTAATCCAGAAACTAAAAAAAAATTTGATAAAATTTATTGGTGGAAAATTAAAGATTACATATGATGAAAAAACTGAAAATTTCAGTTTTTACTAATTAATCATAGTAAAATAAGTGATTAATAAGCTGCATATTTAATTAGTAAATCCATTTGATCCTGATTTTGAAAATAATCAGTGACTGATATCATATGTTAGACATATCGCATATCAATCATAGCAAATGACATTTATATAATCACCGTAGAATTCTTCAACTCAGAGTGATAATATTATCAAGTTTTTACTCAAAATTTTTAACTGTGACTTACTGCGATTAAGACGTTAAGATCTGTCTAACTCTTAACTTTACTAAATTTACACGTTAAATTTAAACAAATCTATCAAGTATGAAGACTTGAAAAACGAGATTATGAATAATTTAATTAAAGAATTCAAATGACGAACTCAATTACAAATAATGTGTAGGAATCACGTCAAACTATATGAAGACACAAAGAAGCAAAAAGATATAAGTTTTGAATGATTCCTTTATTAATATTGAAACTCGTATTTGTAAAAAAGTTAATTTACAACATAAGTAAAAATCTATCTATTTATACAAAATTTCTTTTATCACAGTTAACTAATTACTATGCTATAAATTAACTAATCTAGT